GCGCCCAAAATATTAACCTATATCGATCGTAAAGGTCGTCCTCTTTCTGCTGTCGTATTATCGATGATCCTAGGGTTTATTGCTTATATCAATTGTGCAAACGTTGGTTCACAAGTATTTGACTGGTTACGTGCTTTGTCGGGTTTGTCTAGTTTTTTTACTTGGGGTTCTATATGTGCATGCCATATCATGTTTCGACTAGCATGGAAAGCACAAGGTCACACTTTGGATGAACTTGCTTTTGTGGCACCTTTTGGTGTATGGGGAAGCATTTATGGTCTTGTTCTTAATATTTTATGTCTCATTGCTCAGTTTTATATAGCCATATTTCCTGAACATGATAAACCAAGTGCTCTTGCATTCTTTCAAGCCTATCTTGCAGCTCCGATTGTACTTCTCTTCTATATAGTTTGGAAAATATGGAAGAGAACACCATTTATGAAGCCCAGTACTATAGATCTCGAAACTGGACGACGTGTACTTGATACTAAAGAACTGATTGCCGAAGAAAAAGCTGAGCGCAAGGCTCAACCTTGGTGGAAGAAATTATTTTTAGAATTATGCTGAACTATTGTACAGTATACATAAACTCATTATTTAATCATTATTTCTCATTTCATTATATACATAAGTTAATAACATGATAAATAAATTCAGTTTTGCTAATTATTCGATTTTTCATTAGTGTATTATTGATAATAAATAGTTTCAATTCAATTTCTATTGTTTTATTATTCAGACATTTAGCCTTGTTATTCTCTTTAAAAAAAATGTTTTTATCAAAATATCCATTTACAATATTTTTCAGGTGTGAATATGTCTATAGGGTAAATATGAGAGGTATGATTGGTGATGCATGAAAGACTAGCCTACAGTCACACTCTTAAAATGAAATTCATTCAGGATAGTGAGAACTATTATTCATTCGTTTATGCTAGAAAAGAATCGAAACCATGTTACTTCCTATTGTTTGTATTACATGTAAAAATTTAATGCCCTCTACAGAACATAAAGGTGTGATGGCTACTAGTAAATGGTTATATGAGTGGATCCAATCAGGTTTATTTTTACAGAACTTTTCTATATGATAGAGCATCGAGTGTTACCAACATTGATTAATTTGAAATGTATTTTTATAGAGTATTTTCAATGTCAAGTGTATACAACAGAAAGAAAATGTATAGGTAAACTGTACTCTTGCTTTAAAATTGTATTACACGCATTATATTGACCTCTTATGGTTATGTCATTAACAACTTCTATTATTTCTTTTTCTGTGATATTTAATGTAACTTTAAACTATAGTTCACTCTGTTTGAAGTAATAATTGCACACCAATGGAAGCGTTTGATCGATTATTAGCCTCTGTTCCATTGCTCCTGTAAAGAAGTCATTTAACAATCGTAAGCATTGCTAAATCAACTATTTGAGATAAGAAATACAAAAGGTAGTCATTAAAATTGATATTATAATAAGTTGTTTGTTTCTTTTCAGATAAAGTGAATTAAAAAGTTAAGCACGTCCTTTCAATACCTCTTTCATTTATTTCTTATAGAAATGTGAACCTTTTAGTTATTGTTCAAGATTAAATTATACATTGAAAAAACCTTGGACAATCATAAATATATTTGCTTTGAATTACCTAAAAAAGAGGAGCATAAGTTATAGGGTTACTATGTAATGTGCCGGAAAGGGCTCATTTTATTGTAAAAAAAAACTGTATGTTAATATCGAGGTTCTTTCTTTCCTTCCGCTATTAGATATCTCCTCGATATATTTAATATCTTATAGTTATTGTGATATTATCAGTAAAATCTAAATTTAGAAAAAAAAAAGTTTTTTTCTTCGTGTTAATTCTTATGAACATCAAATTTTATCAGCTATTAATTTAGTTAATTAGTTTTGTCATGTTTCTGACATTTGTTTTCTTTTAAGTATTTCATTACTTGACATATTTGACAATAAAACGACATGTGCTAACAATGTGTCGTCAATAAAGAGAAAGCTTTCATTAAATATTCTTAAAATTATTAATATTCATTATAGACTGGAATGAAAATTCAATAATTCTAAATGCATAAGTAAATTAAATGGTTGAGTTGTTAAAGAAAAAAAAAACTTGAATATGCAAGTATATAAATATATGTATTCATGTAGAAACGACGAGAAAGAAGAAGATAAGTGTCTTGCATGCTGTTTTCTTTTACATTGAAATATAAATAGAAACCTTGTATGAGTACTTTTTTTGTGGGAGATTATATTATATTCTCCAGAATAGCATCGATAAATATTGTATCTCAGTCATTACAAATAGACATTATACTTTTATTGATCAATATTATTTATGTATACTAGATTAGCTGGAATAAATTGATTTCAAGTATAATATATCATAATCAGAATAAATACATTACTTCCGAGTTAAAATAATTTATACCTTCCGGGCTGTTTAGATTAATATTAAAGATTAAGTATCTGGTTTTGATAAATATTTATACATTATCATTTGTAGTATAAACAATAGTAGAACTAGTGTTATGTGCACGAGATTCGTTCTTATGTAGTTTATAGAAATTTAGACATTTCTCTTTTAGAACTAATATATTGTTTTTCTGGAAGTTATGATTAACCTTATTTCTATTCGACACATTTTCTGTAAACGGGAAAAATAAGAACACTTGCTGTTTTATTCATGTTAGTCTAATGAAGGAAGGTTCCCATGTGTGAGTCACAGTTTTAGATAGGATATATACCAGTTTATAAAGTTCGACGAGCTGAATCTTGTGATGTGTTCTGATTTCCCCATAGGTCTTCAAATGAGTGAAGCCGATCGATTTTATTAGTGCAGTCTGTGTTGAAAATAATTAAAGTAACGTATCCTTAAATAACTTTCAATCTATCATCTAAGAATAAGTAGTCTAAACTGCTATAATTAGTTTTTAAACTTAATCTTTCGTTAAGTTAAAATTTGATACTAGATCAAATAAACTAGACTTGAATAAGGATAGGCTGGATAAGATTTTCAAAAAACATCTGAAAATTCTCAAGTGAATTACTATGATCGTATATTTATCTATCTTCGAAATCATTTATACTGTGTATTGTCATTCGTTCTATTGTTTTATCATGGTACGATGTATAAGAAAGAATAGCAATCTTATTTATTATCTATTCAACATACTATATGATAAGAATAATATATAATTAAAAAAGAGAAAGATAGGAAGATATTTATTGAGTAAACCATAAGGTACGTGAATCCTTTCTAATGTAATAATAGCTCAGTTAATTAATTATGCCTAAAGACATACATATGCACTTAGAATCAAGAAAAAGTCATGATGTATATTTTCATTTAGTAATACAAAGTGACAACGTATTGAAAACTATATGTAAAACTTCATGTATATCGAATTGATTACAGTCGTAAAAATACAAATGAAGTTTTTGTCTTATCGATTTCTTTCAGTTATCTATTCATATTCATAATAGACTTGATAAATATCTACAATTATGTGTGACTTATATAAACTACAATACTTATTATTAGTAGTAACACTTTTTCTGATAATGTAAATATTGAATATGTTTAATCTTTATTTTTTTTTATAGATATGAAGATTTTTCATAGGATATAATGCGATGGTTGCTTCTTCGACGCCGAATTCTATCCAATAAGTCTTATCGAACTATGAAAAATATTGGTCTTATATTACTTATTCTTAGTATTATTCTATTTGCTAGTTTTCATTTATTCTCATTCAATAATAAAAGCATTATTACTCAACAACAATGTATATCCAAATCAGATGATTTGAATGAAACTCGAAGAAGAAATTATGATTCATCATCATTAAAACCAATTATATTTATTGGTGGAATGCCACGTAGTGGTACAACATTAATGCGTGCTATTCTTGATTCACATCCATCTGTTCGTTGTGGTGAAGAAACAAGAGTTATACCAAGAATGTTAAGTATGAGAGCAGCATGGAAAAAATCAACTATTGAATGGAATAGGTAAACTAAGACTAATAAATAATTCTCTTGAATATAATAGTCACTGATGCTCATATAAAGCTACTTGAGTTTCTATTCAGGAACAAAATTTTATTGAACAATAAAAGTCAGTTAGGATAGATTATCTCTAGACTAAAAAATCTTATGTCTTGCTTGAGATTTTCGTCTTCCGATACGACTTTTAAACAATAAATTTCTTTTATAGACTTTTGTCTGGTGGTATGACAGAATCAATTCTTGATTCGGCTGTTCGTGCATTTGTTTATGAAATTCTCATTCATCATAGTCAATCTGCTGATATTCTTTGTGATAAAGATCCTTTTGTTATTAAATATTCGTCATATGTTTCATCATTATTTCCAAATTCGAAATTTCTTTTATTAATACGTGATGGACGTGCTGTTATACATTCTGTGATGACACGGAAAGTAACAATTACTGGTTTTAGTTTAACTGATTATCGACAAAATTTAAAAATATGGAATAAAGGTATGGAAACTATGTATGAAGAATGTGAACAAATCGGTCCAGATAGATGTCAAATGGTTTATTATGAACAACTTGTTTTACAACCAAAAAAAACTATTGGAAATATATTAAAATTTCTAAATATATCTTGGGTTGATAGTGTTCTTCATCATGAAGAATTTATTGGAAAGAAAATATCACTTTCAAAGTAAATTTCAACAATGAATATAATTTTTTTCTAATCAAAAGTTTTCTTTATAGAACTGAACATTCTACAGATCAAGTTATTAAACCAATCAATCTTGAAGCATTAACAAAATGGTTTAGTCATATACCAGCGCATGTTAAACGAGATGTAGATTCTTTAGCACCAATGTTGAAGAGACTTGGTTATGATACAATATCAGATGCACCAACATATGGTACTGCAGATCCATTCGTATTAGAAAATATGAATCGACTTAAAAACAATGCTGACTTTTGGAAAAATCAAACAAAAATGTATGCACGTCAAATACCTACTCGAGTAAATTAATTTTTACAAAAATTGATTGTATTTCTCAATGGAAATATAGTTTCTCTTTTGTGTTATTAGAAATAATTTGTTTTATTATATTTTTAATTTATTTGTAATTATATATATGCTTAAGATTAACTCTATGTACTTCTTTAAATCTGCTTAATTGATGTAAAATGTTTTTTCGTTTATATTTTAAATATTTCAGTTAATGACATAATACAATATTTTTCAGTGCTATAAAACCAATAAATCTTGATATTTCGTAAAACAGTATGAAATTATTTGCTAAACAATATTATAGATTATATATCTATTTGATTGTTTATATAAAATTGAGCTTTATTTTTTATTACTTTGTGATTGTTTTTATTTAAAATTGTGTGTTATTCTATTTGTATATGTGATCAATATTGTTTTCCTTTGTTTTTTGTTATCATATTTACTGATATGCAATAATAAAGTCACGCGTTATTATGTTAATAAAACAAGTAAAAATACTATTTGTTTTTACACGTAAATTTTTAAATACATATGTTAGATAGGTTAAAGATTATTCTCTTTCTCCTAGAGAAGAGTCCAGTAAAAATAAATTGTCTGTCCGCAGGGTAAAAAAACATCGAAAACCGATTTTTTCAAAAAGATATTTCAAGAGGTATTTCGATGCGGGGACTCCGAATCTGAGGTATGTTGGGTGACCACCGCGAGGGAGGGGATGTCAAAAAAACATGGAAAATCTATTTTTCACTGTTTCCAATTGTTTTTTCAGTAAACGTGGAGAGGATGCATTTCTACAAGAAAAAACTAAGCGAGTCCTCGCACGAGCGTTACTTATTTTATTTATTTCAAAAATTGTTCTATTTGATTCTCGTGGGAACCGGAACGATGAGCACAAGGATACATAAGCACACTAGTATCTGAGTGTAAGTGAGGGCGCTGATCCAGAAAAGATAACATTAATAAATTGCTGTATCCATGTGGATTCATATTTGCCTTGATTTTCTTTGTTTTCGTCGATATTCTAAACCTAAACACTCGTGTGCTTAAAGTTCATGTGCTCATCGTTCACTGACCCGATTTTAGTATATTAAATAAAAGATAAAATCGAATGACTGGGAATTCTATTTCGTTTTGGTTGAAGAATTTTCAATAGGAACAAGATGAAGAGCTACAACTTTCACCCTTGAAGTGAAGACGCATCGAAATTTTTGTGAGAAAATTTCTCTAACTAATTTCCTAAGGTTTTAGTCAAAAATTAAATCTTTCCCTAGATTTGTCGCACTTTCTCTGACGGTTGTAGAACGCTCCCGACAATCAATAAATGTATGTGCTGTCGATAAGAGACATCATATTTCTAAAAGTTTCGCATAGCAGTCTTAGAAAAATATTTCCATATAAGTTTCAATACTTCTTCGTTTTAACGGTGAAAATCGCAGCTCTCCATTTTGTTCTTATCGATTTGGAGTGTGTAAAAAACATGTCCTTTTATCAACTACAGCTTTTTTCTGCATTTATATCTTGAGGATTTGTGTATATTTAAATATTCATTGTACATTCAATTTATTATTATAAATAATCAAATCAAAATTAATCTAAAGGAAAAAATAGTCTTTTTTATTATTTTCCTTCATAATATTAAAAATATGACTAAATAAAATTGGAAGTCATATAACGATAGATCAAAAAAAAACAATTTATTTTTTATTTATTTTTCTTTTGTGTCTGTTCATTTTCAATAATAACCATGGCTAATTGACTATGTGATGCTAAACCTTTTTCTTGTTGCATTAAACATCGATTATATTCAATTGAATTTGTTTGTATTGTTGAATCACATTTAATCGATCGATAATGTACACGTAATGAATGATCAGGTGCATGTAAAATATGTAGATCAGTTAATTGAATAAATAAGTCATAAAGATTACTTGTTGATATTGTTATGTTATGATATGAAATAAGTTTTTTTAAATTTAAATAATCAGTCATATAAAGTCCAATATGATCATATGTATAAGAATTAAACCAACCATTTAATTTATGTAAATCAATTGTTGAGTTATCTTTAATATGATATGTACGCTCAATAATATATGGATGATATTGATAAAAAGCAATTGGAAAAAAGATTTGAGTATTTTCAATAACATTCAAACGACATCGATTAAAAAAATCTGAGTCAATATTAACATATGGATTTGTAAGAAATATTAGAGAATTTGTACGAAGTTTTGTTTGAAAAAAATCTAATAAATAAATTGGTTGAGAATATAATGGAATGGTTGATGATGACGGAAGACGTAATGTATGATATGTTATTGTTAATTGAGGATGTGTTTGATGAATTAAATCGACTTGAGTACGAATAGTTTCAAACCATTTTTGTGTTTGAGCATATTCTTGTTTTGTTGTAACGATATGTGTAAGAAGTACTTCAAATTTATCACGAGTTTCTCGATCAAATAATGTTTTATCTATATGATGAAGAGAACAATTCCCAGTGAAAAATTATCAAATTATACCTCATTATGTAAGATTATAATCGAATTTTTGTGC